TAGGTTGCGAGGTTTTGGTACGTCCTAAAACTCTATCGTAAACAAGAAACATGTCGGCTGTGTTACTTTGGTTATCGGTGTCATATTCCTCTTGAAAAGTCAGTGTAGAAGTACCGCAGGTGACCTAAGCTCCGCAGATGACCTAAGCTCCGAGTAAAAGTATATTATTTACACTAACAAAAGTAGAAATATAGAATTTCTCTATGGGGAAAGTGTTTTTTTTATAGTTACAATATAATACAGATGTACTTAACGAAGAGCTTGCCTTTCTAGGGAGGTAATTGTGCTGTTACCCTCCATCTAACCTACTACTGTAAAAAGCGTTCAATTGCCGCCGCATTCCCAGAGAAAAACATCACACAATTATCGTTATATATATGTCACATTTTCGTTTGTTTCATGGTCATTTTTGCCCAAGGTTACTACGTTCTGTTACATTATTTTTTCGCATAATTTTGCCTGATTAGCTATGGTCCCTTGTTATAATTCACCGTTGATTTTTGCCTTCGCGTTTAAGCAAATGTGTTTATTCAACATCGGGTAGAAACAAATACTCCTATACTTTTGGTTTCCGACAGTTTCTACTTACACGTACCGTTCAGAATATTAATAATACCCTGAGTAGATATTTTAACAGACAGGTCAACGATTCTTCTTCGCTTCGTGACCATTTAACCATTTTCGAAATCTTGTTCTTGCATTGACTGTTATCAGGTCAACGAGACAGAGGAGGCAGGGAGCATGCGGGCTAATTTAGCAATGGTTTGGAGTGAACTTGAAGTTAACAAACCACTGACCATAAAAGCCACTTCGGAGGAGCAGACCTGGTACTACATCACCTCAATAGCCACAAACCTGGACACCAAGTTCAACCCGCTTTCTGAAGCCCTCTTTCAGTGGGACGAAGCTGTGCTGTAAGCATTAGTTTGTTTATCAAGCCTTGACATGAACTAAAGTATAAGGCGCATTTTGTCTCGCGATTTGCCGAAATTAAATTCATCACACGCCCAATCATAGCGAATTAAAGTAAAGGTTTGAGCTGATGAATACGAAAAGCAAGGCAACCCACGGGCATTTGACTATCGTCCGCGCCCGCGGGGTGGGGAATCTGTACCTTGGCTGGGTAAGTGGAGAATTTGAACCGGACCTGTCGTGCCTTCCCGATGGAATACACGTGCTTTGAAGAGTTTTCTTAAGCATGTAGATGACTCAGAGGAAAAAGCATCTTTCTCAGGTTATGTTCAGCTCAAACAACGACTGATCGCTTTGATGTGTCACTTTCAGAGTCAAAGAGCATTTACTAGAAGAACACAAAGCTGCCTGGAAAGCATTGTGGGATACTGGTCGGATTGAAATTGAGGGGGATCTAGAAATGGCGCAGGCTGTGTACGGCAGTTTGTATTACATTTTGAGCTCCACGCGACACGACTGGCCGTACGGGTTGAGTCCCGGCGGACTTCCGGCTGCAGAGGAGTATATGGGACATACATTCTGGGATCAGGACATATGGATGTACCCCCCTCTAGTGCTGCTGCACCCAGATTTGGCGAGGAGTTCTCTGAGATATCGAAGCGAACGGTTACCCGCAGCCCGCAGAATCGCCAAGGAGTTTGGATACAAAGGTAATAAAACATGAAATAAAATGGAAGTAAAAGCAGAAAGGCATAACATGATAACCGTTATGATCTAATAAGCTTTCATTGAGCATTTTTCGAGTCATGGATTGAGAATGGATTGATACATCACCTTTAGTATGAACAACAAAATAATGAACTAGTCTGATGTTATTTTTAAGCTGCCAAAGTCTGAATCCGGAAAGTTGGTCAGAATTAGTATACCCTCTGCAATTATAAGGTACCAGGTTATTTTTCTTTTCTCCTTCCGTAAAATTAGTGACTTCATGATCTTTAAAATGCCACAGAACAGTATCTTCTGCCGATCTCATAAGACAGTAATTCTTTTTGCATGTAAACTTAACTTCTTTGTACTTTTCAGGCGCAATGTTTCCTTGGGAAAGTTCTTACACAGGCCTGGAGACTTCCCCTGGGGCTAGGTACGGCAAAAACCAGATTCATATCAATGGCGACATTGCTTTTGCTGTCATTCAGTTTTGGAGGGCGAGTAAAGACGTGAACTGGTTGCGGGAGGTTGGCTATCCACTTCTTTACCAGACGGCGGAGTACTGGGCTAGTAGAGTAGAAAATGACGTTGTCAACGACAGATATATCATCAATCACGTGATGCCACCGGATGAATATCACTACCCTGTCAATAACTCTGTCTACACTAATGTAGTGGCGAAAATTAACCTTTTGTTTGCTAAAGAAGCCGCTGACATCTTGGGGAAAGAAGTTCCGAAAGAGTGGCTGACGATTGCTGAAAAGATGTATATTCCTTTTGATAGTGAAAATAGTTACCACCCAGAATATGAAGGGTACACCTTGGACAAAGAAGTGAAACAGGCTGACACGATCCTAATTGGTTATCCACTGATGTACGAAATGGACAGAAAGGTGGGTTTTTTTTCCCATAGTGTTGTAGGTGTGTGTTAAAGACAGCGTAGTGAAGGTATAGTCTGGCTTGAAGAAAAACCACTTCGTGCAAAACCAACGTCATTTCTGGAAATATTTTGAGTACTCAATTTTAAGCATTCCTGTTTCGCGTTTAATACGCGGAAAGTGAAGATTTTAAGTCTCTTGCCTTTCACTTCCCTTGATGTCGTCTGTAAAAAATAAACAATAAACGCCGATTCCTGATACCTAGTGCTTAGAAAGAATCACGAAGCGTTTGAGCATGTTGTGTTTAGCATGTTAAAGAAACAACGAATACACACAATTTCCAGCAGCAACCATTATCGATCTTACTTTGAAAAAGCTTAGACACCATATTAAGATAACAGTGAATTGGGCTACACAGTAACACAAAATTACCTTCTGTTATTACGTAGGTTCGATATAACGACCTTAAACTTTATGAAGAACGCACTGATCCCGATGGACCGGCCATGACACATTCCATGTTTGCCATTGGCTGGCTAGATCTGGGAGAGAATACGAAAGCTGTGAAACCTTTCCTAAAGAATTACGCCAATATCCGAGGACCATTTAAGGTAAAACCCTCAATCTGTGAAAGGAGACCATCGAAGGAATTCAGTTTGCTATTTATTATCCTTTTCACTAACCAACGATCGAAGCATAGGAACGAGTAATGTGACATTCGTGGTGTTGGCTCGGCCTTAGGAGTCTTTGAAAGATGGCAGACCGATTAGTAAATATGGTGTATTTTACTGAGGAGGACTTTTGTGGGGATGATGGCTCAATTCTGTTTCTTGGAATCACAGGATCATTGGCTTTTGGTACAATCCCTGTATATTTTAATTATATTCTGCACAGTTTAACCACGAGTTCACCATAGTGTCATTTTGATTACGAGTTACAATTTCTGGTACCTATTTTTTAGACTTTTACCGGGAGTGTTTATTCTATTTATTCAAAATACTCTGACGTTTTAAAAACTCCTATTTTTCTTTTATATTGTTTTAGTCAGATAACCAAAGATCTGTTCTGTGTGTTTCTGTAGGTGTGGACTGAGCGTCGCGACATCTGGGGCGCTGTCAATTTCATCACTGGAGCTGGTGGTTTTTTACAGACTATAATCTATGGTTATGGAGGATTCCGGCTGAAAAGCTCTGGATTGGCGTTCAATCCTTCTTTGCCCCCAAACGTCACAAAGATGACAACCACCGTGCATTATCTGGGGAGTATTATGGATGTTGCAGTAACTGGAGAAGCAATAACATTTACACTACTCTTCTCAGGTCCAGTTTCTCCTGGCCTTGATGTCATAACATTAAAAGGTGTATTTAGCCTCGAGCGAGATTTTCCAGTCACAGTGGACAGAGCCAAGGGTATTATTAGCGTTCGACAGGCAAAGCCATGCACACAGTTCAAGTAAGGTTTCTCATCACAAACCTATTCACATTGGCTTATTGCTGTTAACTAGCACTTTTCTATATCTCCGCCATCATTGATAATAAACATCGAAAGGGATTCTTTTCGATAGTTCGTTTGTCCCTTATTTCCTTCTCACATTTTGCGAGGATGAGGATACAATTATGTTTTTTACCATCCCCTATTTCGTGAGCAAATATCCCGTTATTACTTTTGATTCCACAATTGTAATAAAACCAACCGTTTTGCTTTTTTAATAAATCAATAATTAATAGATCATAAGTCGATGGATACAGAAATAAATCGAACTAAAGCTGCTGTTCTTAAATTGTTTAGAAAACCTCTCTAACCCAGTCACAAATATTGTGTGATGGATAAAAAAAGTAGTAGACAAGGACGAAGGAAAGCTGAGAGTTCTACCGAAGAGTGTGTAATGGTTAGGGTTCCCTAACCTCTTAGACTTTTCGGAACGCTTATCGCACTTTTAAAGACTCCAAGCGGTCCTTAGCAGTGGTGGATCCAGACCTTGAGCTAATGGGGGGGGGGGGGGGGGGAAAGGCGTTTTTTTGTCGCTTGCCTTCCCGGCTTTTTTTTTTTTTTTTTCACCTAAAATACGGGAGGCCCGAGCCCCCCGGGCCCCTTCCCTAGATCCGCCACTGTTTGGTCTCCTTTGCAGCCGTTGTTTGATCTCGTCACGCAACTTTCTCGGCGTAACGAGACCAAACAACAGTTATGAAGGAAACTAAGCGGAGAACGTTGCGTGACGAGACAAGGTAATCTTTGGCATCACTATTCAATCGCGGTCGAAATGTAATCGTATTCAGCTAATGGACAAAAAAATAGCCATGTTACGAATTGCACAAGCTGTTAAGTACTTCTTTCATCCTCGGTTTTTGAGACAATGATTTTTATTGTGTGAGTAAAGAGAACAATTGTATTTTGTTACGGTTTAGTGAACTCTCTCTATCAATCATCACCGTTGTTATTTTTTAATGATTCATTCGCCAATGAGATCATAACGTAACCCAATCTTTCCTGTTAGTCAGAATGTAGCCATCTGCTGCCAATACTGTAGGTAAGACTGCGTACATCTCTTTGAGTGTGCTTCAGTTACAAGATGAACCTCAGTGGCTGTGGTGTAGCGCTTGCCTTACTTTTAGTGGGTGCTGTGCCAACAGTATACTCTATTCCGGCAGTTGGAACACCAACTCGCTTCGTCACCGACAAACTGCCAGAACAAAACAGCCCATCAACTGTGCTATCAAGCAGGAATGGAAACTTCATGGCTTCTGTTGCGAACGGCTATGTAGGCACAGTGATTTACAGCGATACAGTGCATGTATCGGGTGTTTATAATGGCAAGGCTTACCAGAAGAAGTATCCGATCTACCCAATAGACCTTTATGAACATCCTCATAGAGCGCGCATTCCTTCGACAGCTTCTCTTAATTTTAAGATCAGGAAGACCCCTGGGAATACCTCATATGCGCTGGACGTGTACGAGGGAGTCTTTTACAAGTGGTTTGAGGCGGTTAATTTGACTGTGGAGCAAAGGATTTATGCGCACAGAACCAGGAAGAATCTCTTGATTGTGGAACTAACGGCGAAGAACAACGCGGGAAGAGAATTTTTGATGGACCTTACTCCAAACATGGGATACATCACACAGGATATTGATTTTTACATGAAAGAGTCAAACAGAGCTGAAGCTCTTGCTGGCGTAGGTTTGGTATGTTTTATATTCATGTTTTCATATCTAATAGCACTATTTCAGCTCTAAGATATAAATAAATACATTGTTGAGAGAGTGTGGACGTGACCTGGCCGATTACTTTGGACAACAATGGACAAAACATATCCATTGACTATTGTCTGTTTATTTCCGGAGCTGTAGATTACAAGGGACATCAAAGCCAAATATATTTTTGTAAACTGATAACGATGATATTTCCAAGTTCTCACCTTCAGGCTTATTCCTAACTTATAAGTCGCCATTTCAGTAAGGAACGATTTGTATTTGTCCCAATCCGGGTTCGAATAATATTTCTCGTTATATTTCACCCCTAGCCTTTTTTCCCTCAGCATACTCCCCCGCTGTATGATAAAAATTCGCTTTTTCTGTTAAAGGGCCTTATCCATTTCACAATTTCCTTTTCTCTATGAAGTTAGTTATGATGGTAAACAAATACAGTGCAGTGGCTGCTGAAATAAAATTCTACCTAATAACTTTTTGGAATATCTACGCTTCTGAAGTCGTCAGCGTGGGCGCCAGGTATATCAGCGATTACGTAATTTTCTCTTTAAACGTTCTTCGCCTTTTATTTTAGTTTAGTTTTTCGCTTTCTCGTAGATTTTGTCAATTAGTTCTATATTTTGTGCTTCGTTTCTTTCATATGTTAGGTTTTTACTTTGCTATTTGTCTGTTTCGGCTTAGTCAATTATTTTTCCTTAGTACAGGTTCAGTTTGCGTGTGTTGAAGTTTAGTTCAGGTTTATTTCTATTGAAGGACAGCGTGATTCAGTCACAATCGTTTCGACTTATTGAATCGCTTCAATTGCTTTGCTTCAACTTATTTCATCACACTTTGTCCGTTCGATTCGTTTACGGGTAAATATGATTATTAAGCGCGTAAAGACAATTGTGACTACAGTCAGGGCGTAGAAGGAAAACAACCTGACCCTGACGATGACTTCCGCTCAGATTGTCGAAATGTCACGCATCAGCCCTTCTCCTTCACTCAGCGAGGGTCAAGCTAAGTAGATGATATTCGCTGTAGAGAATTAAACAGTCAAGGAGGCAAACCGGCAACCACACAAAGTTAAAGAAGCCGCGGTCAGAGGGGATTATTGACAGAAGACGAAACAAACGAAATTGACTTCTTTGAATGGAGGGCGATCACCGGATTTAAATGACACGACTAGCGGTGTAACTGCACTGTCAGAGGATGCACCAAGTACTGATCTTATTGTTCATTCCCTCATTCATTCAAATATAAATGTAGGTAAGACAGACTGAGGAATATGGAAGTGTTCGCCCGAACGTGGCAATTGTGTGGAAGTACCTAGATTCTAGCCATCCATTGACAATCACGGCTAGCTCAGATGAGCAAACCTGGTACTACATCACCTCAATAGCCACAAACCTGGACACCAAGTTCAACCCGCTCTCTGAAGCCCTCTTTCAGTGGGACGAAGCTATGCTGTAAGGATCTACATTATGTGACTTTGTTTTCACTTCATTATAACCGAGAAGGCTTGGATGTATCAATTGAAAACCTTAAGACTTTTAAATTAAAACAATTCGTTGGTATGACAGAAAAACATGAAGAGGCACTAACAACGAATGACGGCGCCAGAATGTCTGAGTGGAGAAGATTATAATCATTTGCATGTGAAGAACATGAAGAAAAAATTAGGCAATGAATTGATCCTTTTTTGACACTGTTGGAAAGAACTTACGAGCTAGACTCTAAGTAGTCCATGTAAAGAGAAATAATCGAATTGTCCTGCAACACAAATGCTTATTTTTACGTTCACTTCGTTTAGAGTGAAGGAAAAGCTTCTTGCAGAGCATAAAGCTGCTTGGAAAGCATTGTGGGATACTGGCAGAATTGAAATCGAAGGGGACCTAGAAATGGCCCAGGCTGTGTACGGCAGTATGTATTACATTCTGAGTTCCACTCGACATGACTGGCCGTACGGGTTGAGTCCCGGCGGACTTCCGGCTTCAGAGGAGTACATGGGACACACATTCTGGGATCAAGACATATGGATGTACCCCCCTCTAGTACTGCTGCACCCTGACTTGGCGAGGAGTTCTGTGAGATATCGAAAGGAACGGCTGCCCGCAGCCCGCAGAATTGCTAAGGAATACGGTTATAAAGGTAGGAAAATGAGTATATACCCAAAAACACACAAATGGACAGAGGGACAGACAGGCTCACAGACAGATCTGGAGACAAAAAGATAGAAAAAAATCTCTCGTGGGTCAAACAAAATGGCAAAGTTTAAAACAGAAGTTTAGCGCATAGGTGGAGTGACGGAACGGCAGATATGGACGCACAGACCAGGACATTGTACAAAAACCAATTATTAGTATTTGATTGGTTTTTGTCAGTTTGGCGTAAAAATAATTTTAAGAAATGGTAGAATTCTTACGTGATTTTCGAATTGCACCGCACACAGGCGCAATGTTTCCATGGGAGAGCTCCTTTACTGGCTTAGAGACCTCCCCAGGAGAAGTATACGGCAAGAATCAGAATCACATCACGGGAGACATTGCCCTGGCCGCTAAGATGTTATGGCATGCTACTAAGGATCTTCACTGGTTGCGGGAGGTTGGATTCCCCCTTACGTACCAGACTGCAGAGTACTGGGCCAGCCGGGTGGAATACGATCCTGAGAAAGACAGATACATCATCAATCACGTGATGCCACCGGACGAGTATCACTATCCAGTTAACAATTCCTTCTTCACCAATGTGGTGGCTAAGATAAATTTGCTGTTTGCTAAAGAAGCCGCTGAAATCCTGGGCAAGAAGGTGCCCGAGGTGTGGTCAACTATTGCGGAAAAGATTTACATCCCCTTTAACAGCAAGTATAACTATCACCCTGAGTTTGAGGGATATGTTGCAAATGTGATAGTTAAACAGGCAGACGTTATACTGGTGGGCTTTCCCTTGATGTATCAAATGGATAAACAAGTGAGTGGCTTTAAGGCCAAATTGATAAGCAAGACGGGGATTTGACGGAGTAAAATAGATATTCTATGGTACCCATTCTTACTTTTTGAAATACCCTTTGTTACAATGCATTCCTGACAATGGAAAGTAAGATGTACAAGGATTTGTACATAATGATGACTTAGCCCTCAGTAGGTGATAACAGAAGAAGTCTCTATCCTTTTTAAAGTTAAAGTTAAAGAGTGGCTAGCTTTTTTCACGTATTTCCAAGAGACAAAGCTCTGCTGCTCGTTTGCGTGGCCTTAACGCCCATTACAAAACAAGAGTCAAGCAAGATATCCCTCACCTACATTTCGGCCGAATTCACCGCCTTCGTCCAAGCTAATGACCGTTACACGCGTGTAGATAACATAAAGATATAGAAAAAATTATGCACGCATATGATTTTATATATACCGTGTACTTCAAACCTGTTCCAACATGTGAGGATCCCAAAGTTGATAAAGTAAAGCATGAATATTTTAAAACATTTTGTTTTTCCTTTTTGTTTTCTTCAGGTCCGATATAACGACTTGACTTTTTATGAGAGGCTTACAGATCCTGAAGGACCCGCCATGACTCATGCTATGTTTGCTATTGGCTGGCTGGAGGCTGGCGAGGAAAAGAAAGCTGAAACAGCCTTTTTCAAGAACTATGCTAACATCCAGGGTCCCTTTAAGGTAGTACCTTATACAGCTTACCCTTGGTATTTTGGAGCCAAACGATGTTTCAAACTCGCTGCCAGTTCTCTAATGGCTATTTCACTGTATTTAATGCCATTTTGTTCTTATATGGATTCAAAATTAATTTGCCTTTGTAGGTGTGGTCAGAAAGGCGAAATGGTAAGGGAGCAGTGAACTTCATTACAGGAGCTGGAGGATTTCTGCAGGCTGTTATCTACGGGTATGGCGGTTTCCGAATCAGAAGTGATGGCCTGTACTTCAATTCTACCCTTCCTCCCGGGACGACTAAATTAACCTTGAGTTTACACTATCTGGGTTGCTCCCTGAAGTTTGAATTGCAAGACACCAATGTCACGTTCGCGTTAGTATCCAATGGTCCCATATCACCTGATCTAGAAGTGTCGACAAAGCAAGGTGTATTTGCCCTGAGACGAGAGAAACCTGTCACCCTGGAGACAAAGGATGGAGTGGTGCGCAAGCGCGTGAGTACAATACAATCTGAAATACCACAAAGTGTGAAAGAACGTCATAATTTCTAAAGAAGATTAAACATGTGTTCATGACTATTATCTGCTTAACACGACCAGCGCGTGAAACACCGCGTGTATCCTATCCGGCCAGACAGAATGTGTCCGTTCATGAATGGAGTCCTGCAATGTAGCATGGAGGCTGAGAACATAGTTCAATAAAAGAAGCGTGCGCTTGTGGGAGGGATCCGTGCACTATTTTTTCAAGAGATTAGCTCATGGAACTGAAAGGTAAATCAACCAATTGGAGACAGCGTCGTCGGCTAGGTATATTTTAAAAGGAAATTTAGCTAGTGACCGACAATTACTACTAGGTTTTAAGGTCTTTCATAGCTCTGGAAAGTTAGTGCCATATTTCTTACTTGACTTCTTCAGATACTTATTTTCAGACTTCACTCCTACTATACATCAATACGACGTATGCCGTAAAAGCTAGTAGTTTAGATATCTTAGTTTTTCCTTACGAAAATTAACGAGATTTATCTAGTTTTTGACTTGAAAAACACTGGTACAGTGTTTTGTTCATCCTGGATTTGTTCATCCCCAGTGACACGTATTTGATACGTTTGAGTACAGCCAAGGTTTAAACAACTTATCGATTGAAGAATTATTTAAGTCTTGTCTGAACTTTGTCCTATCATTTTATTTTCATACCTTTGACAGGCCTGGCTGAACCGAGTTAAATCGCAAATCTTTGGCCGGAGGATGGGCTCTGGAAAATAGGGTGGATTCCAGACCCCAAGAAGAAAAATCAGTGTCTGAGTGCGTGTAACTTTGAGACTGCGCAGACGCAGAATTGTGTATTAAAATACATAGTTGATATCTGTGACTGCTTGGCTTTAAACGCTCCCTAATGCCTTAATCAATTGTAGAGTATGGATTTCTGAAAGTTCTTCAGATTCTCTGAGTTTGATTTACCCATAAGTTGCTACGTGTTTCGCCTCAGACCAAGAAACACTAAGGAGGTCTGTTGTTACCAAAACATTAGTGGCATCATCTGAACCGCGGATTGTTTCATCGCTAATTTTTGCTGGCATCGGCTTCGTTAGTTTTAAAGTTGAGGACGAAGTAGTTATAATAGGCCTGTTGCGCGCTCATGCATTAGCTTGAATGAACTAAAAACTCCAAAAAGTACCAAAGCACCTGTGAGCAATAGGCCAGAATTGGAGTTTTTAACTCCATATGCGCGATTACCATGTTAGTTAGGCAACTTAATCTAGATAGTTATGCGACGATTAACCCACGAACTCTCGAGGCTTTTCCGTTCCTATTAAAACCGGTTCTTTGTTTTTTTTTTCTCTCATCAATGTTCTTTGGGGAAAAACAGCAGTACACTTGATCGATTGAGTAGTGAAAGGTGAAAAGGAACCTAAATGAACGAACTGGATTTATTGTCCTTGTCTACCCCCGACAAACACTTTATGTCGACACACAAAATTCATTATTGTCCTTCAACAAAATTGAATGAATCTAATGACAGGGGAAAAGGCACACAGCAATCAATCTCAGCCATAGTTAAGTAAATTCTTCGTTCTAATATACATTTTTTAGTGCTCTTACTCTCGTTGGATCTGTTACATGCTGTTTTTTGACGACTGTGACTTCACTATCTGGTGAATGAAATCGTACAACATAACCTGGTGTTTTAGAGAATACTCCATGTAGGCCGTTAACATTGATACTATATCCTTGATTGTTTGATTGCGGAAGTGAATAAGTCCTTTGCATGGGTTTCAAAAAGGCTGCTCGAAAAACTGAGGTTGAGGGTCTTACCAGTGAAGGGACTTTAACTGCTACCTCAGGAACAGTCAAGGGCTGTGAAATGTAATATTGCGGAACCAACAAAGTGTTTTGATTGACAATGTTTCCATAACTGAATCGTAAACGTTGCAGCATTTTTTGTCTTATCCGAGCGGAATACGCCCTTAGCTCATTCATGGCCTTAAGATGACGTTCTTGATATGCAAGGGCGGCAGTTGGATCCTCGATGCCCCCATGAATACGTGTCAAGTCTTGGCTCATTTGATCCGATATCTCGTAAGGTGAAATGTCTTGATTTTCATCATGTTTTATCTTTTGCAATTGTGATTCTTGATTTTCAATTTTCACGGGTTTCTTCTCTTTGGCGTCATCTTCGTCTTCATTAGCGTCCTCTTTATCATCATCTGGTTCATCATCATCGTCTCCATCATCAGCATTATTATTATGGTCATATCGAGATTGCTCCTTTGTTTCAAGGTTATCTGTGTGTGGCAGCTTCTCTTCGTCTGTATCATCGGGTCTCTCCTTGTTATCAGTACGATGTACGCTATTGCGATTGCTTCTTGGGACAGAAATATCCTCGTTTTCATCCTGTTCAGAATCATCTGTGATTGGTGGGTTTGAATCCGAGTCAGTATCAGTTTGCATCAAGGTCTCCAACAACACATCGTCCTTCGTCTTACTCTGAGTGGATCCTTTTCCTTCGCTCACTATTTCAAACGAATCTCTCGGTGCACTAGACGGAACTTTAACAAAGGATGCTTTCGGTGCGCGGCTGTTTCTAACTTCCTGCTTAATGAAAGGACTTTTCTGAAAAATTTGCGGAGAAATCTTGCTTGGGAAATTGTGGTTTGTACGCTTATGGTGTATACTTGCCTCTTTTTTTTTAATTTTTAGGCTGTACGTTCTGCTCAGTAAAGCAAAGCTTCTCTCGGTAGCCTCTCTGGTAGTCTGGTTTGCTTTTAGGTTCCGCCCGATAACTTTATATTTGCCGTTAGCAAGCAATTTTTCCTCCTTCAGGCTTCCTCGAAGATTTTTCTGCTTCCCTAATTCCTTAAGACGGTGCCCGTGATGTTCTGAAAGAATTATTTGAGAAAATTGATAAATGTATACCTATCAATATTTGATTTATTAGTTATGTTACTTTGCAAACTCTTTTATGGCAGGGAAGGTGAGTATGGCAAGGCTATTGGTCGACGAGTACCAGAGCTTATCCCTTTTTTCATAGTTTGGCATGAAAATAAGTATTTCCTCATTTCGGTGAGAAGGCTGGTCCATTACAGGGTTGCTACTGGTGACTCGTTAAGTTTCGTTGACAACTCGCTGATACCCATTCATATTCCTGAGTAAGGAGGTACCGTGAGCTTATGGACAGACCCCACTATCTACAGTCCAGCTTCTAGCCACAAAGTCTGTATGTCTTCCTGTTTACACATAATCTTAATAAATTCTTGAATTGTTCCATACAACAAAAGGTGCTCATAAAACGCATCAAAATTCATCGCATTACCCTTCCCAACAGATAGACTTCTATTAGCGATCCGTAAGGAAACTGAACAATTTAATCAGTTTCGTTTAGATGTCTTAATTTGACATACTTTGTTGAGATACCGTAGACTGCCGCCTATAAGCCCCTACTCCCTACTCCCTCCTCCCCCCCCTCCGGTTGTGGGCCTATCTACCTGTAAACAGAAAAGTACATTTGATCACATTCCCCCCATCCCCCTATACGAGCCCTCCTCTAGCTTTAACTTGTTTTGAGGGATAGTGAATCGGTGTGAATCAGACATATAAATTTCACTAATAGGAAAGCATTGATGGACTTCCGTTTCGTTATGTTCCAGTTTTGTTAACGTTGTTAGTTATAGTTCTGTTCCAAATGTATTAAAAGAATCCAATTTATCATGATGTTTTTAAGTTTAATTAAAAAACAGCAAATGCTAAACGTATTTTGATCAGCGTTGCTATAGCTCGTTTCAAAGTCCCTTTTCTATTCAGGTTATAAGCCCCCTCGGATATAAGCTCCTCCGCTCATGAACCCTCTTAAAACCTCTTTCGAAGTTGTATAAGCCCCGGGCTTATAAGAAACGGTTTAAGATAAACGCTGTACATCGAGGAACGGTTTAAGGATAAGGATGTAAGGAGCCGGGTTGGGTTGTGAAGGAAATTTTTAACTGCGCTATTGATTAAAAGAGGTACTAAGCGGTATCTAACACAGGATATAGCTGTCAATTATCTCACATTTTGAAGAATGGTGACCTGAATTTTCTCTCTCAAATCTGTCATGTTATGATTGTATCGAGGCAGACTAAATCGTGTGTATTGCGAGAGGTGAGAAATTAGATACTGTAATTTAATAAGGATTAGAGTACAGTCGAGTACAGTCAACAAAGAACAGCATCGTTTTTGTCTACAATTGGATGCAGGAGCGGCAGTTCATTTTACCTTTCTTTGCTTCAAGTCCTTCAGAAGTGGAAAGAAACAGCGAAACGACTCCTAAAACAAGCAGCACTTGCATGGAGAATTACGGTTGTTATCGACAACACCAAGATGTTTACCTTTGAAAATAACTGCGTGGAATTGACATGGCCGTGGAAGCACTTCGTGTAAGTGGTTCTCAGTGTTAAGTTCTTCACGCGTAACAAATAATCCACTTAAACGGGAAAGATATGTGAATGGTCACCAGCTGATAATGAAACATTACCTGCCGTGTGTGAATGGTTCAGAGCGGATTAAGGGACAAACGGAAAATCTAATAGTAACTGGTGTGAATAGGTTGTTTGAGTCAACTAGTCTTATTTCGAGTACATGATAGCTTGTCAAACTATTTGTCATGACAGTTTTCTGATATATGTACAACTTCTTTAAAGCTAACAGTTGGAAACTTATTTCCTTATTCAAAGTACCTTGTAAATTTAATGTCTAATTTCTTCAATCATCTGGTCATTCCTGTCCCATTTTCACTAGTCCAGGCATCTAAGACCACCATTCAGTGGAATAAGCCGGAGCTCTTCATAGCGGCCGGTCTTGATAAAAGGAGGGGAGCGGGGTGTTTCAACGAAACTTCACGAAGTGTTAGAACGTCGACAAGAGCAATAGCTGGAAGGACATCCCGAGCTTAGCGGAAGGGACCAAGAATCTAGACTTGTCGTTTCAGTTTTTCTGAATATTTAATCGCTGAGTTTTCTGATCGCCCAACCATTACTGCTAACTTCTTCTAACAGCAGGTTTACCTCTCTCACTTCTCCTCTATTTAATTACCAACTCTATAGTCTACGTTTCATATAAACCATCACTGGGCGTAAGTGGGCACGCGGGTCATTTCGGTATTTCGGTACGAAAGCCCAAAACAAGTGCAGGTTCAAAGCAATTTCTGTCGACAAACGTCATTTTTCGATAATCAGTCTTAACTACGGCCAAGGACAACCCACTTGACCACGAAATCAATCTATTTACATAATAACTGTGAAAAAATTGGATAAAACTAGACAGTTCTGAGGGAACGGTCTTTTTTTCGCTTAGGTGGGGTTGGAGGATATTTGTTGTGTCACAATAAGGTTGACCTGATTAAAGAATCCGACAACTAGACATTCAAAATCAGGAAACGCATTACAATAGCAAAAACTGAAGTAACCATGGAATTCAAATCCTAACCACAACCAAGCGCTAAATCATAAGTACCTAAATAATTCACAACAGAAGGATCAAGGCAAGAATGGAATGGAAAAGGTTAGTAACAAGGACTCATCGCCTCACTTGGCGCAGATCTGCCGGTAACATGTCTCTCTTCGCGAATTGAACACCTGGTGCATGTCAACAATGTCCGGCGTTAATCCAAAGACTCTTGTCCAAAATGTAAGAGAAAAAAATAAGAGAGTTGAGGGACAGTTGCACAGCTTGTCACAGTAGGTGGGATGTGTTTGCCTGCAAGCCACCTCTCTCGCGAAGTGAGGGAGATTACCAAAGGGGAGCTTGCTTATAGGATTAAGATTTGCAACAATATTTAAGTTTAGTATATGCCAAACAGGTGAATAGTGCTTTTCGTGAGCGTTGATTGGCTTGTTTGGTAATGATTAGCAAGTTTTAGTATATACTAACAGCGGACAGCGTTGAAGGCGAGCCATGATTGGCTACACAAACTCCGAATATGGTTGACGTTGTTACTGTGCTACATTATCTCCCTGCTTTAGTGCACGCTTAAACAACTATTCAGCTCTTAGCAGCCGAAGAGACAAGAAGTTAATTTCCATAAACCACTCTCGATAGATTGGCAGAAATAAAGAAATTTTCGGTTTGTGTCTGGCACGTCGGTGAAAGTGATGGATATTAACCCCAATGCTTTGTGGCTCGGTAAATTTCCACCACTGTTTACCTTCACCTCTGTAATATTGTAAAATACAAAAACTAGTGATATTGCGGCAAAACAAGTCAACAAAGTCACATGCCGTGCCTTTGTCCGTGTCAAGTACTGTTCTTCTTGTGCGTCAATCAGTCCTGGTCCACCGTTGGGTTGGGCTTTCCAGTTCGTGACGAAGTTACATTCAGAAAAAGGAAGCGGAGCTCTCTCATCGAAAGGAGTCTCGCCAACTTCTAACGATGCTCTAACACTCAAAGCGAACTGCACCAAAAGAAACCCTTGGGTAATGAGATCCTCATTTATATAGCTGCCTTGAGGCTTCACATCGACATTTAACTGCCAGTGAGCTGTTGTAGTTTGGTGAGCCATGTCCTTTCAGGATTAAAACGCATCATCACAAACCAGGTTATCAGGATCTCGTGTGGGTCTTGGGATGCAAGCCGCAAAATGAACGACAAAGTGTTCGCTTTCCACCGAAAATCATTTATAGGACATAAAAAAGGTAAAAACATGTTGCTTCTCTAACGTTCTTTAATACAGATAAAGGGTTTGGTATGCTAGAATATACTTTCAACTCAAATTAAAGATTTTTCTTAAAGGCAAAACGTCTGTGTGTATTCACCACTAATTATCGAGAAAAAGGCCAGCGGTGAGATTCCTCACCGAGCATAAACTTTTACTATTCTGAAATTACTAGGTAGATCTCTTTTAGGTAGTCCCCTCTAGGTACTTTCAATAGGATATCTAGGATTCCTCTATGGAAAGCTCCTTAGATGTATCCCCAAGGAATTCTTTGCTTAGGAAGTGTTAGACACAGCGAGTTTCTTGAGATGTTCCATAAACACTTGCAAACTGACGTCATCGGTGAGCACAGGAGCTCCAGCCGCATCTTGACCCCAAGCAAACATATTGTTATGGGTCTGAGACGGGTTTACTTTGGACAGCAAGAAACGAGCCTAGAAAAACGCAAGAAGAACAACCATTAACGCACATCGCCTACGCAACGCATTATCAGTTGTCTTGATCTATGAAGAGGAACTAGAAATGATACAAAAAAAAAAATCCGGGTTAATTTCACAAGTCAACCTTGGTTTCCAACTTAAATTTAACGCAAGCGGGACTCGTTGAAAGTCTGGATAGGACCTCAAAGCGAAGAATTAGAACCGCAAACAAGTCGGTAAAACCATTTTAGTATGACATGCCCTCCTGATAGGACCATTGTGTTTCCAGGGGTATAACAACGAGTTTGAATTGATTTTCAAGAGCGTCATGAGACACGGTATTTCTGTTCGGCTAAGTCCAAATTTTTTTGCGTATTTTTGTTTTATTTGTTTGTTTGTTTTTTCTTGAACTGCCCCCCCCCCCCTTCAAGAAAAAAAAGGTTCTCTGAATCAACCTTTCCTTTTAACGAAACAGTCTCTTACTTACACCAATAACTCGAACCTCCCGCTAACTCGAAGCAATTTTCGTTTCCACACAGGTCATTCCCTATAAATTTACCCACGATAACTATCAAACCACGTCGAACCACGTCTGTCAGAACGTGACAAATCAAAACAAACAGTGTACTGCAATCAAAAATATGTAATTTAATTTGAACAGCCATTTTATACTTTTCCTTTCTTGCATTACAAAAAACGCGCTCAGTTCAGTTTTTCCTGGGCTAGGGCACAATAACAGTGCCTGTATTTCCAGTGCACAACGACAGTGCCTGTATTTCCATGAAGAATTGCTGCTTAACTACACTAGTGCCCAAAATAATTCATGTTCCGGTCTCTCTTTTTTTATTTTTTATTTTTAACAAACGATAACTCAAATCTTTTTAAATTTCCCATGAAGTCTGAGCTATTGGGAGTCGACTGAAACAAATACGAAACCCCAAAATGTTACCTGAGAGCCCCCATGTTCAGTCTCGATGTAACGCGGCATGGGGAAGCGAACCTGTAGGATTTCACCTGCGTCATCTACTGGAGCCTGAAGAAGCTGACGGAAACTCTCGTACTGTGGATCACTTTGATAACCGGCTTTTTTCCACTGTGCTATTGTCTACTCAGAGAAAATGAAATACAACCCAATGAGAATCATTACTTTTCAATATAAAAATGATACTAAATAGTTTGTCAACATACCTCTCCGTGGAAAATAAGAATCTGAAAGAATGTGTCCAGGAGAAGAATTCTGTCAACTAAAATACTGCTAGAGTCTAACAACACAGGCTGAAAAAGATCAAATGGAAGAAAAATCATCAGGAAAATTGACCAGTCTTATGGTCTTTTATAACGATACCATAAATTCAAAGTTTGCTAAGTTGCAGATTGTCTTTTTTTTGCGCTTTCTTTTCTGTCAGACCACTTTAAATCGTTACACTGGTACATTGAATAAACAATCGATCCACCATGACTTTGAAATAATAATTCGACTTCGGTTCGCTCTAATTTTTATTGGTTGGGTTCACTATTCAAATGCTCCCCTATTTCTTTTGGTATCTTGCTTGGCTTTATGAACAGAACCCGTAGTACCACAATGCAGGTTCAGTTTTGACCGTGAACTAACCTCAGGGGGGCCGTGAAAGGAATATGAGTACAGGATAGGTTGAATCATAATCAACGAGTTTGTTACATCTTCACGGTTTAAAATGTGTCTGCAATGCAAAACAAAAATAAGATGGTTACAGTATATTTCACTTTTCCTTCTAAGTCTTCTGAGACGAACGATGTGTCGCTCTGTGCCTCATATCGCAACGTCCTTTTTTTCCATATCACTACTTATTGTTTGCATACATCAACTGGCATTGTCGCAAATGCTGCAGTCTGATTGGCTACGCTGCTCAATATCCATTTCTAGCCAGTAAGTACCATAACGACGCGAGGTTGCAAACAAAATAAAATTAAAACACGGTCAAATTCTCGTAATTAACTTACAAGGAAATGTGAAGCACCTTAAGAGGAGAATTAACAAGCATATCGTAAGAGTGAATTAGTTCAACAGAGTTGTAATTTTCGCGCGATTTTAATAGTACTGAAAAGATTTGATGGAATGAGTCAAAAAACCTGTTACTGTTTAAAAACACAAATCCCGCCTGATAAGGAGAGTTATCACTGACTGAAACATTTGAGAGGGTCCACCTTGGCTAATGCAGTTCACTGAATCAGGAAATTCCAACTTACACGACATATGGATAAAGAAATTCGTCCTTCCGTAAATGTTTAACAAACACTGGCGTAAACTACTTTGATCATATGGTAAATACATCAACTGACATTGGCCTCCCCTAAATGTTCTCAATATTTGTATAAGGGTTAAATTAACAAGTAACAAACGTTGTACCTGTAGTAGGCTGTCTCGTCAGGGCTGTTATTGAACACTTGAAGGAATTGTGACCGTCTAAGATGAAACATAAACTGCAACATAATGGATGAAAAATATAAGTTACATTTACTCAAAGGAAAAGTGCGCGGCCTGAAGGGGAGACTGGAATTTCTAATGGATCTGTGGAACATTCAGTTTGCCTCATACGTTTAAAGCTCCAATCTTCATGATAATCACGACTAGTACCATGAAACGTGTACTGAGGGAGGAGAGGGGGAAGGCTGAGGCGGACACCTGCTCAGGTAAAGTTGGGACATTCTGCATATTGAGGCCATAATATCGTACCTGTGGATAAAGTGAGAAGTTATCTGCCAAACGAAAAGAGCCTGGGTCATCCTTATGGTATTCACCAAACTTCTGACATAGTCGAATGAGCATGCGATCCAACCAGCGCAACACATCAGGTCCATCATCTCCTTCAGCTCTATAACAGACCACAACGACGCTTTCAAATAACTTACTCTCTACACGCAAAAGTGTTTTTCAAAGAAAATGTTAACCGTTATACCTGAAAACAGCTACTCTGCTCATCATAACGGCTGCAGCCTCCTGGTCGAACCCCATAGCGATGTGTTGAACATTTGATGCATCTACCCAGTTTCGTGCGCACGTTGTGACTCGAACTCTCCGCTGGCCACTGGAATGTTGATACTGAGTGATAAACTGTATGCAGCCACGCCCTCCTTGGGGGACTGGGGCTGTGTGCTGTGATTTGGAAACAGACAATTAGTGAAATGTTTTCTTTATCAGGTAAAGAAGAAAGATCAAAAGCATTCTTTAAGGATTGAACAGTACCCATCTCATATCATATAGTACAACTGAAGCTACTAAACACCAATTTAAATTTGAAAAAAAGAGACAAACCTGGTTAACTATTTCAAAGAAAACTCCAAGTGTTGTCTGAGGCTCTAATCCACACATCTTCCATGCACATGTTCCACCAACTCCAATTTCCTTAAATAAATGTATGTTTCGTTTTTTAAGTTTTGTAAGGAATTTAATCATATCACAGATAAATATTTTAAATGGTCATTTACCGCTAATCACCACATTGAGCACAATTTAATTCCTTTCTCTAGTTCCATTTCGTTTATGTTTACCAATCTATCTGAAGTGGTCTTGCTTAAATTAAGCATTTAGATTCACGCTTAAGTAAAAGTAGGTAATACTTTTTAACTTCCTAAAAACAACAATTATTGCATAAAGGTAATGACATGTGGTTTTCAATTGTTTCTTATAATTAGACGTTTTATTTCCTAGTTCTATATGCAGTGTACACTTAAAATACCAGTAACTTTATTTTCCCTCAGTTCATCTAGAACTGAAAACAGGTCTTACTGTTTCAGAAACGTTAGGTCCTTTTCTGTCCAATGATATACATGGTCCAATGGCACCTGACACTCTCAACTCTCTTGATGTCTATAATAAATATCAAAACTTAACAACCCAAGCAGATCATACATGTTTACATAAGGTTCATAGCCAGTATGAGTGTAGTGAAAGGAATATGATTATGGATTTTTGTATATGTCTGGCAGTTCAGATGCTCCAATTCAGTCAAGGACAACATAAGGGGAGAGAGAGGGGGCTGCAGATGGTTTGAAAGAACACTCTAAAGCTGATATGCATTTACAAAAGAAGCATTAAAAGGTGGACTTTGCTGTATCCCAAGAAACTTAAAATCCACCAACCTTCACTTCAAGTGTAGCACAAAAAGCCATCTTAAACTCTCCACGCATATCTTTGGAAAACACTCTCTGAAATGTCTGTTTGAAAAGTGCTGTGTTGAATGAATCTCCCATCACCATGTAGCCTCTAGAACAAAAGATAAGTACTTTTCAGCTTGGTGCAGCACCATACTAAAGCAAAGCATGGTAATATCTTAAAACAAAATAGTAAAACTTGATAAAACTCTGCAATTAACACAAGCATACTCAGAAAACAATCATTTCGAAAGCTCCCTTGAATGAGAGCTTGAGCTCAAGCACTTTTGAAATCTAAAAGTAAAGTTTTGCAAATAGAAAAAAAAGGTTAGGAAAAGTAATAAAAAAATTGGGCCAGTAAATTGTTAATCTCGTTAGTGAACTTGACTAGACTAAGTATAGCTAGAAATAAATAAGGCAAAAAGTGTTTTAACTTCTTTTGCATGCTGAACAGAATTTAGTCTAGCAGAACACTGTCTCATGACATACCCTGTGACATTAGGAAAACTCTTGATTTCATGAAGTCCTGTCTGATCCAGCTGACATGCAAATATATCCACAACATGCCCATTTTCTGCAGCACGGCGTGACAATGCTTCATAATGCTGCAAGTCATATAAACAAGTTGGTTACTGATGTAGCTAAAAAGCTACTGGAAACTTTTCAGAGCAATGTCTGAGGGGGCAGATTTCAAACATTTCAATTTGAGGATTATTTATTTCTTACTGAGGTGATATACATTTGATACCTTAATAGCTTTCCTGACATGTCTTGCATTGTCTTTCTCAAGATCATGATGTGATCGCATTGGATTTTTTAACTCTTCATCAACCACCATACCTGGTCCCTGTTGAGCACAATACACGAAAGAATCACCTGTAGTCTTCTCACAAAAAAATTAAAGGCTCCACAATCAATTCCTCAAGAACTGAAAATTCTTTGTCTAAGTGTTGTGCAGTATTCCTTTTAAATTCATGTACACATTGCTTCACTGGAAAAATACAGCATTTTCATACATTTTCATTATTATACAAATGTACTTGTTCAAACAGTGTATTAATCATGTCTGTGACTGAGAAAGAGTTGCAATTGTTTAGTGACTTAAGTCAATTCTTCTTATTGGTCTTTAGGACAGTAGCTGGATTTATTAAAACAACTGAGAAACTAAGTATGCTCTCCTTGGTCATTCAAGGTGATCACAAGAGAGTAAGTGAAAACAATTTTCATGTTTTAAATAGCTGCATATTTTGCAGAGATAAATGCATTTTTAGAAAAGTGATAGAGGATTTCAGTAACTCTCTTCATCCAGAATTACAAGTAAGTACAAGAAGCTCACTTGGCAGAAAATATGCTAAGTATGTTAAGTATGACAGAGTTTTTTAACAAAAAACTCAAGCCTTGATATATACCTGTGTTCCTGGTCCTCCCATGAACAACATGATTCTACCACCAGTGTTAGGATATGTGCACTAAAAGAAAATAAACAATAGCTGTTACACTGCCTCTAAGCTGTTGTATATTTTAATGTTTACATGATATTTATCACTGTCAGTGATTTGAAGTTAGAGTCAGTACATTCATTTTCTAATCTTCCCCAGAAAGGTTTTCATCATTGCACCTGACAATTCAAACCATGAAGTGGTTGGGACAAGACAAGGAAAGCTAAACAGCTGCCTAAGAAAGTGATGTCTTTTAGAGTGGAAAAAGTACAAAAACTTGGAATCAAACTGTTTCATTGCTCTTATTAGTTATAAATCCTTCATTATTGCAAACCCTTCATTTAAAAATAAGTTCTTCAAAATTACAGTTCAGAACATTGTGCGGGGGTTTCAGACTATAACAAAACATATTACAAGTACATGTACACCCTCAAGTACATATTATTGTTGATAAATTAATATACAAGGGAGACCATACCTCAAGCAGACCAATAGCAATGGACAATGCCACACCAGTTGACCTTAGGGGTCTTTTGCCAGTTGGAACAGGCCAAGGATCTCGCTGAAGTTCTCCCAATAGATCAGTAAGGCTCATATCACATTTGTGGACTGGTTGGAGAAACCTATACATAAATAATAATATATCATACTCTGGCCTTGGAATGTCATGCCCAAGAATAGCAACTTGAAGTACCAAACAATTAATGTACATGTACCCATTTACATGTGCATGTAAGCATTTATGATTACCCCTGACCTTAAGTGGGAGTTACCTGAACAGATGGAGTTATACTATAAAACAGTACACACAAAAACTGTCTAGTTATTTAAGCTTTGCATCATAACAGCTCCTACAGGAACTGCAGTGATGCATTACAATATAATTTTGTGAATAAACCAGTGTTGGAGCAAATTTTATACTTCTCTCCAAATTCCCCCAGTGACCAGGGGTTTCATTGCTTTGAACATCAACTGTGCATGGCATACATTGTACAAATAAATTGAAAAAACACTTTTCCACATGGAGCATATATGTTAAAGTGTACACATTTCACTCCCCAAACTTCAACTTGAAGAACTGACCTGAAACCTACAGAATTCAGAGGAAAATCGACCAAGGAAGAGAAAGTTCAAACTAATTGGAATTGGTTTTGGAGCAAACCTGGTATAATTCTAAACTACACCTGCTATGTAGTGGTGCTTAGTTCTAATTACAGTATGAACACCTGTTAAATGTTTCATTGGACTGTTGTTGTGGTGGTACAGGTCCTCCTCTCATTTGCTGCTGTTGTCCTCGCCCACTGCCTCCTAGGCCAAGCATATCCTAAAATATGGACAAAGCACCATTTCTGTTAAGGATAATCAACATAAAAGGAAAAAGTGAAAAAAACTAGTCTGACCAATTTCCTTTTCATTCTGTTAAGGAAACATTCCTTGCTTGCAAGAACAGTAATGTAACATACACATGTACTCTCCACATAAACAAACCTGTATTTGTTTAGCATTAAGGTCCTTTGTTCCTCTGAAGACATAACTCTTGGAGCAACCTTCACATCCCAGCTCATGGACATGAACCTGAAACAGTACCAGAAAGATGATATGGTCTGCAACCTTCTTTAAATTTCATCATTAATATTACGTACCCTGTTCAAAAATACCTTTAAATTCTTAATGTTTAACCCTTTCACTCCCAAGATCACAACATCTTTTCTCTACACTATACTCTATACAGACATTTTAACTTTAAAAGATTAGTTCATTTAAAATCCCACCCCACCCCCATAGCAAAAACTGCATTTGAATGCCACACTTGACCAAAATGTTATACTGAACCATTCCTTGTATGGTCAACAACTGTCATATAATTTGATGCTTTTTTTCCCCATCTATAAGCATCATTGTACAGTGTGAATATTATCTTCTAAGCCATTTGCTCACAAAAGTGGACTCTATATCCTAAAACTCCTCTACATTCAAAATTAAAACATGTATTCAGCTGGTTCAGATTCTCCACCCCACCAGGACAAGGTTCAAGTTCCCCACCCAAGGGCTTCAACAACAGTTAAACAGTTAAATGGCTGTGGGTTGCCTCAAAAGGAGGGGGGTGGTGGCAAGAGGGGGGATGTTGAAGCTTTGAATCAATCAGCACATTACAACTTAAACACTGAAAATTGTTCACATTACATGCAAATAAACCTTGATGGCACTGATTACCTACAAAATTAATTATCATAGAGTAATTTACTACATAGCAAAATAACAGGGTTCCTTACCATTTTACCAAATGTGATGAGACCAACCAATGCATTGGGTGGCATTAGACTCAGAGACATTTGCAGAGATTCCTTCAATACAAAAAAAAGCATTTCACGTCCAATTCTTTAATGCAGATTTATAGTTCACAACTCATAATAATTATTATTCCAACCCTGTCCTATGTTTTTTTCTCTGATAATCCTTTTTCCAAACATAAGTTAAGACCCACATATTGCTATTTGCAGTATTTTTTTGAAGGGGAGCTGTTTGTGAGAGTATAATGACATGGATTGCACATCAGCATCTTCTGAGGGTGGCTCCTGGATAACAGAAAGAGGACGACCCAGTGGTTTCACTACAATATCTCTTGATTCCTTAAGGGCACATTATGTCTGGGAATTAACGTACACAGGCTTCAAGGGCCTGTAGTAGCATGCACGTGGTAGAAAACTTACAAATGTGTGGAAATACACACAAAAATGATTTTACAGTTTACCTTGATTTCATATTTGTTTATTCACTACATTAGATGGGTCAAAACTTTGATAATGCTACAGTAAAAATAGTAATACAACCCATACTCAACATCTTCTACCAAATTGGGAATATGCCATTTCTAAAGTGTACTTCACAAAAGTTAAGTTTAGAGTCCAATGTATACAGTATGAAAACAGACCTTCACAGCCTGGAAGTCTTCATCATCCATACATGTGTCTAACACTATCAAATATATCAATGGACCAGAGGTGCCTCCACGCTGAAAAAAACAGGTACATCACATTGCAGAATAAATACACCAGTAATGTTTTGAATCTGTACATGTATGTACAAATAGAACTTGAGTCAAAGCACAACCACCCATCCCCCCCCCTCCCCCATGGATGGGACTGGCCACACAATTCAGGGGATCTGAGATAAATTGCATACCTCAGGGTAGATGGATTGGGATATTTTTCTATCTGGCATTCCCCAGGTTAGAGGTTTTGTTGGGAGCCTGTTGTTGTGAATTTAGTGGTTGCTGCATGTAGAAGTCTGTCTTTGAAATCTAAACTATCCACCCACCCAATTGAAGTACAGCAATTCATCAAATGAATAAGTGAAATCAACAACTAAGAACAAAAATTTTCATTTCTCCTTTTCTTATCCTTTATCTTTTGCTACTCTTTCAGCTGTCAATCCCACACCTCATAAGAAGGATGTCCAATATTATGGCAGCACTTGAGGATTTTGGTAAAAAAGAAAGCTTCCTCTGGGACAAGAGAGTTGATCAAAAACTAGAGTAAGGTTTCTAGCAAATCCCTACAAGGAGGAAGGGTTATACTTAAAGTCAAAGTAATTAGGCAACAATAAAGTCAGAGAGAGTCTCGCCCATTCCTATGAGATTCTTATGAGAAGTGTATCTGATGTGAATGGAGACTCTACCAAATCTTTTCTACAGGTGTTAAGCAAATTGCACTCAAAATCAAAATGATGTTTCACATAAATTAATTAATAAGTCCCCACAAAATGCATGCGATAGGTCGTACTGGGATTTTCTAATAAATCTAAACAAAGTTAATGGCTTTAATTATGCAAACTATTAGTTTACCTGTAGAGTGTACTCAATGGTTGAAAACTGAGGAATAAGTTCAGCAGGTTGGTGCTGTTCTGATATTCCAGCATACTGAGGAGGAAACTGTCAATGACAAAGTACACTGTATCAGTTTAAATGTATAGTTTACAGTTTGTACATATATTCATACATAAATGTATCATTGCCTATTAAGAAGTAATATCAAGCTAATTTACTAAATTGTTTCAACCTAAGAGTATGAAGGGATTGCCCAGTTTGAAAATCACAAAGTTAGTAACCATGTAAACTATAGCAAGTTTGAAAATCACAAAGTTAGTAACCATGTAAACTATAGCAACAAAGCCTTGCTGTGATGGTGCACATGGAAGCCATGGTGGTAACAGTGCTTGCTTTCACGACAGTACCTCCATGGTTGGATTCTAAAAGCTACACACTGTAGTGTAATATGTGAGCTGAGTTCTTGGCATCCCTTCAAAGGTTTTTCTTCAAGTTCTCTCACATTTCTACCAACCACAATAACTATTATTCTTATTCTACCTGAGTTGTTTGAATGCTTGTGTATGGAAAATTTGCTCTTTAAAAATCAGTGATATTAATCATGGTAGTAAACCAGTATAGAGGTGGAGTTTGTCAGTTAGATTTGATATCTATATTGGAGTAAGATTCTTCAGTTCGATGCAAATCTGTGTACCTTTCATGATTGCACTGTTACCATAACATACTAAGGGCACAGGTCCTTTCTAATTCCTAAGGAGCTATTATGGTGTAAATCTCTATGTGCAGTTTTGCTTCAGCTGCAAGTTTCTGTAGATTTTAGCCACAAGTTTTCAAACCTTGTTTTTCTGATCCATTCCAATTGAGATGGACCTTTTCTCAAAATGAAAAATAAATGTGCTAAATAATAATCATTTTGATAAACAATGAGCTTGTAGCTCTTTCCACCACCAAATTAGCTTTGGAGTTAATGATACTTCTTTCCCACATGCTATGTAAATCATGGCTGGAGGAACAAAAATGTGCTTTTATGACTTTCACTGAGGCTTTATGTGTTGGGGACTTAAAGTATTGTTATGTCTCAAAAGTTTTGTTCAGTAGAAGATTTTGTTCTAAAATAATACAATTTTCTATAATTTTCAACACAAAGCTAGCAATTTCTGGTCATAAATTATTGTTAACAACAATTCAAGCATGGGTAATCTTCTAAGCAGTCTTGTATATCGAAGAAATTTGTTCTTTTTTCACTTCTGACCAGAAAATTCACAAGTCTTTGAATGAGGATTTGGTCTCAAAAATATTTATTTTCCTTCATTCATGGTTTTCAGGTAAAACACTTGGCAAACCTGACAAAGTTGTAACAAACTCTTTTTTTGAGCACAACTTGTGTCTGCATACTTTGTTATAAAATAATTGGTTCATGCTTTTATCTATGCATATATCAAGTCATGGATGTACTTGGCACTCTCTTTACTTCCTGCGTGTAACCATGCCTTGATGTACCCATGCTAATTTTGAACCAATATTTTAAGGCTGGTAGAGTGTGTGACTGCTCTAAATTGCTAGTTGTGGTGTTCTTGAGTGTATCACTGAAAATACCTTCCGGACCTAGGTTTTCTGTCACTTTTTTTTAATTGACTGACTGGTGTCAATTGTCCTTTCAGTGATGACTTTGGCAAGGGTTGATACAAGATTAGCCACCAAAAGAAAGCTTTTCTGGACTCTACCCTTACCCTGTGTGGTACTAAGTGATATAAAGTTCACTGAAGATGAAAGTTTTTCATTCCCAACAATATAATTTGATTAATTAATCCTGACAAATGTGCAAATCGCATGTATACAATTTTATTTAAGTTATTCTCATTGAGCAAGCTTGTTACTATCACAGCTTTTTTACGTTTGGGCACTATGTCGTCCTAAAAATGTTAAGTGTGATTCACCATACCCATGTAAACAAGTCTTACCGCATTTCGTTGGAAGCAAAAATTGCAGTGCCAAACTTTAGATCGATAGTCCACTTGACTATTGACAAAAACATAAAAGACATCAAATACAATACATTATCAAATCAAAATTTTCCTCCCAAATGTCAAATTTCATGTACGTACATACATCGTTCATTAACTTACCAAAACGGGTTCAACACTGCTCTACAAGTGTTCCTTGTACACAAAACAGGATCATAACAGATTGGAGGAAGGTCTGGTCGTTCTTTCAACGGTGTGTACATACAACCAACAGGAACAACCTAAAGAAAATCGTGATGAGATTCCTGAGTTGAGTCGTAAAGAGGAATAACTATGTGGAATGTTTCTAAACCCACCATTCGCGTAGCTTCCAGTCGACTCGAGGGCCAAACATTCCAGCTAAATCTAACACCATCACGGTCCTCGTTCTGAGTTATAAAGTCCTGGTACGAAGTCATTTTTGAAAGGAACTCACCACAAGTTTCATTAAGACGAAATGTTTCAACAAGAAATTGCCAACAACCTTTGTGCCACGTCGCTGGTAAGGCTAAAACCTGGGAACTAGTGTCTTCGATTTCTGCCCTCTCCTTCCAGTCTCCACTCCTTCTTAATAGCACTGGAATCCACGGAGATCGAGTCGAAGAAGCAAACGAGCGGGAGAGCTGCGCCATCGGCGTGAGTGTTGTGGACTGTACCAGTCGGCTGTTTTCTCTGACTGATTGGTAAACATTCGTGAAACCAAAAACACCGCTTCTGTTTTCGCTCTTCCTCGATCAACCCTAGAGCGAGTTTTCTTATAACCACAGCAAACACAAGCCAAACGAAGTCTGAGCGCCGCCGCGTAAAATGTACTTTTCAACGACTGGCTTTACAGCTAAACGCCTTAAAACAACGAGAGAAGAGAGGAAGGAAATAGGGAGTAGAGAGACACTGAACATGAGAAGGATAAGGTAAGATAAATTCAGTTCAAATGAAGCTCGAATCCGTGTACTGTCGTAACATTTTTTTGTGCACAGACTGACTTTGAAACATCAAATATCAATTCGGGATGCAAGAGAAACTGAGTGCAAAGAGCGAACGGGCATGATTAGGTCAAGAGGCGGCCACTCTAGCGCTCTGGAGTGAGTGGCAAAAATTGCTTAAATAATGGTCTGTCTGCGCAAGGAGTAGGCATAAAACGATAGGCCGATCCAAAAACGGCCGTTATACATCGAGGTGTTAACTCTTTAATTAAATCAAATTCCTGGAGATAATTAGTTGCGTTTTCACTCGGCCGATGAACTAGCTGAACGTTGTTTTTAGGTGTTTGTTTACAGACCAACATTTGCTATTTAAACGTGATATCTGTTTTCACTGGGAAATTTGACCCAGAATTTAACCCGCTGACTCAGACGATTCAAATTGCAGAAGTGCGCACTTTTCAAAAATGGCGGGAGACAAAACGTTCTTTATGACCTCTCTTGTGCTGATTTTTGCCATATCTATGCAAAAGAGAATTTGACGGAATATGGCAATCCTGTTGATACTAAAATGAACACTACAACCATTGCCGCCTTCACAAAGCCATGTGGGTTTATCCATGAGCACAGTTTTGGTTTAAACAGCTCATTGTGGACTGATATCAGGATCATTTCTGGCAGGAACACTTCAGGGTTAGCAGGGAAACATTTGAACACATTTGTGGTCTTTTTGGCCCTCAGTTGGTTTGTCAGAATACAATTCATTGCGAAGCAATCGCAGTGGAGAAGCAGGTAGCTGTTGCTCTTTGGAGGTTATGTACTAGGAATTTGTGGAGAACTGTGGGATTAACATTTGGAATTGGCTGCTGCAGAGCCATGAATATCAAGGGCTAATTTTGCTTTGTTTGAGAAGAGCTAACAATTTCATTTAATTTCCCAAGCTGAGGCTGAAACTCGACAAACCATACAGGAATTTCAGAACATTAACCGATTCCCTCAGGTTGTAGGTGCTCTTGATGGATTGCATATACCAATTAACCCTTTACACCCTAACATCAATATGCTTATTCTCTATACTCTTCTCCCTACATTTCCAAAGGTGCTAACAATGAGAATATACCTAAAAATCAGGAGCTCCTTTATTTGGTGATCATTTTCTATATTCTTGTAACCGTAATGTGTGATTCAGGAGTGATATTGTAAGAGAAATTTGGATCCTAGTCACTCTTAGGAGTTGAAGGGTTAAGGCTTCAAGAAACAACCCAAATGAGTATATGAATTGAAAAAGTTTCCATAGCATTGTTTTGCAGGGAGTCGCTGATGCTAATGGAAAGTTTTGACATGTTAGTACTGGCTACACTGGAAGTATTCATGATGCTCATGTGCTGTGATAGAGCTCATTTTCCACTTCAATAGGAAATGGGGATATGTTGTATTCCCCAATGTGTCAGATAGGTGACACAGAGGTAAAGCCACTCAAAGGGATTTTAGTAAATCACAGAGCATTGCAAGGGTAGTTATTGAGCAGTCATTTGGGCTGTTAAACATGAGGTGGAGGTGTTCCCTGGATAAGCTTGATGAATCAGAGGAGAAAGTATGCTCTACAATCATAACCTGTTGTATTTTACAACATATGCCTAGATGTCAATGATGCTACTGAAATTGATGTGGCCAATAACAACAACAATTGGTTTTCCTAGTACCCCTCCCAGGTCATGATATTATTGCAATGGCACTAGACTAAGGAACGTCATAAAATAATTTTTGTATGCTGAAAGCTAAAATATATAGTATAATTATTTGGTGCAGCATCTACTTCATTTTCAGTTCAATATTTTTAATGCTTTGAGCAAAATAGTGCTGTCCTTCAAATTAGTATTGAATTGTAAATATCTCCAAAAATTGTAACACATTTTTTTTAGATTTACCAATTAATGCCTTCATTGCAAAATGAGAACCGAACAGTGAATCCGTTCAAATTTAGCTCATTTAAAACAAAGGGAGGTCAAGTAATTATTTGGTGCAACGTCTACCTCATTTTCATTTCAGTATTTTTTAGATTTACCTAGTTAATGTTCTGAGCAAAGTAGTGGTGTCTTTTAAATTAGAACTGCATCATAAATATGTCCAAATATTATGACACTTTTTTTTAGAATTACTAATAAATGCATACAAATTGAATTGCAAAATAAGAACTGAACATGTACAATAAAGTGTGACTGTTCTCTTTCTTAACTATCCAATTTAAAAATTTTTGCAATTTCCTTTAGTAGCAGTAGCAGTAGCAGTAGCAATGAAATTGAAGATAGTTGGTGGATGTTGTACCACATTTAGATTTAACTATAATTTTCGAGGCCCACCTTTGCAAAGATTCATTTTATGGCATCAAACATAAGTTTTTGACTTTTTAATTCCCCTCTGCCTCTTTCTTAGAGAGGCTCTTAAAAAAAACATGTGATCTCTGCTTTAACTCTTTTCCAAAAACTCCACAATATTGTTGGCTGGTCCATCCTTTTCTTTATTGTGGGTGTTTTTCCTTTGTTGGTTATTTTCGAATGTTTCGGACTGCCTTCCAAGGTCTCATCAAATTCCTTTCAAGCTCAGCATTGCTGTTTTTATTGGCATGCCCGCTTGACTGTGGTGACTCCTCAGGGTCACCAGTTTCCGCCAAACTGACTACATTGGCATCTTCTACCAAACCACACTCATATACATGCTTTTCCTTTATGTTAGGCTTACAGCTTAATACTTCATTGATTTCCTTAAAGTAGGTTTCTGGATTGTTGCCACTGTGGGAATCATGGTTTTGGGTAGAAATATTTAGCCTTCTAAAGCACTGCCTTTTCAATCAAAATGTTCTGAAGACCTTACTGTATAGTTCCCAGTTCTTAAATTTGTGATAAAGATGTTTTAATCCTATGAGCGTATATGTTCCTCAAGAAACTAGAATGTCAATTTCTGGTTGGTGTTGTGTTGTAGACCTTAAGAAAAATGAATATTATTACAATTAGACATCAGTGCATTGAGCTTTGGAGTAACCCATAATTATCTCTTTCCCTAAAGATGTCTTTGTGAATAAGATAAACAAGGTGCTAATACCTCTAATCAATATTTCTCATTTTCTACCAGTGTAACAACTAAAGGATGTTGTTAAATCAAGCTACAGATATCTCATCCTGTGCACTGCCTTTTTCAATATATTCTAAAAATCTTGTGGCAGCTGTGAAGCAGCACTTAAAAGTGATAATGGAGCCTGAGTAGGCACTTGAGAAATGACGATAGAAGCAAAAGAGTGAAAAAAAGTCTTGATCTTAATTTGAAGCTCAATGGTCAATTCTAAGACCCTTTGTAGCACAAGCACCTTAAAAAAAATTATTTCAAATACTACCCTATGATAAATAGTCCCAAGTTAATATGCAAGGACATATCTAGCCCCATGAAGCACTGTCTTTTCTGCACTATCTGATTTGTATCATAATAAAGATTATAGCAAAAGTGCAATGCAAGAAGTATCAACAGAGCTTTGGAATAATTCAGACCACCATCTAATTCAATCTGTGAAGATGCTTTTGTCGGTGACTATGAATAGCTGGCCAAATTATGATTTGATTATGGAGCAGTGTCTGTTTCAGTGTCTGAAATACTTGTCTGAAAAAAAATCACTAAAAGAAGTCATGCAAAGGTTTGGAGGAACCTAAAGATTAGTGACAGTGATGAACTAAACTGTAGTGTCTAGTTTGAAAGAAGTCTACATATATCTTCACATATATAAGAAGAAAGTTATAACAGGTAAACAAGGAAATGTAATGAGAGTTGATTTCAGGTCTCACCCTTTTAACAAAGATTGATTTTAATTTTGGCTTGCATTTGTAAACCGTGAAGTCTTATTCAGATTTTTCCTTTAATATTGTGCATGAACTTTGATTTTAAATTTTGTCTGGATTGATTTGTTTGCCACTCCAATGTGGTTGTTTGATTGAAATGTATAAAAGTATGACACATTAATAATGGTAATAGGACCAAGTGGAGTCCAATTTGGTTTGTAATCATACAAGTGATTAACAAAATTGGATGAATGTGAAGTGGGAGTCCAATGTGTGTATGATTACAGACAGAATTGGATGACACAAAATCCTGATACAATTAAACATAACCGTTGCAATTTCCGAAAAAAAAAAAATACATTTAGGACAAATATCTTCAGTAGGGACCATGTCCAAAGCAAAAAATTTGGAAATTTCTCAGTTTTCTTTTCAGGGTAAGTGGTTGTTGCTATGGTTATTGTGATCAATTTGGTGATCGGTGGATTTAGCAGAATGGACTCAGTATGATTAGGTGCTTCAGCTGTCTCATGATTGCCAACTGTCTGATTACACTGTCCAATTACAACTGTACAGCATGATTAGTGAAATATAAAGCAGCTGATGCACCAATCACATTTGAGGAACTTGTAATGGTTATGATTAATGGAGAAACTATTGTAGTGGAGCCTGACTTATTTAGCAAGAGGTTCTTGGTTATAGACTTTGCCCAACATATCTGTGGCATTCTTTGTAAGTTTGCACTGATAAAAGCC